GAACAGGCCCAGGGTTAGTTAGACAGACACTCAATAAATTCCAGCTTTCTACAATTATTGAAAATCCCTTCCTTGAGCTCATTTCTCTCCACCCCCCCCCATCCGGAACTGCAAGCTACTCTAGCGCTGATGGAAACTTGCTGATTAGCTCCTACGAAGTAATACCGTCAGGTTTTCTAGTGAGGAGGGACGGTCACAGCTATTTATCGACCATCGATTTTCACTGATACGCGAAGGAACCGCAACGCGACCGCGCGCGATGATTTAACCAAACCTTGCACATCATGTCTTCTCAATTTTATCTGATTGGATAAAATTTCAAAATTAATACTCTAGTTCTTACTGTGGCATAAGTGGCATAGGCGGCATATGTTGCTGATCTAGATTGCGTAGGGTGAGATCCAACGGTGATTCCTCTAGACCATGAGGACTTCCGTTACTGGCGCGGGCGGGCTGAAATTCTAAAAGTACATAGTGATAAAAAGATTGATTACAGCTCAGTGTCTATCAAAACAGGTACTCTAGTAACATTACCGTACCTTGACGCCCTTCCGGCTGAGTTTCTGCTGATAGGCTATCGGACATCCGGAAAGACTTCGATGTGACGTGCGATTGCTGTTCACATGACCTTTCCCAGTACAACCAGGTGTCGTACATCTGAGTACGGTATCCTGTTGTAGGGCATAAACAAGGCGTATAACATCTCTGGGCAATGATTGTGGGCTACGGGTTTAGCTTTCTCGCCGCACTTAGGAAGTCCCATTGACGTTGCACATGGGAGGGGAAAAAAACTGACGACAACGACTGCAATAGTCGTTTGATGCACGGCCCTCAAGCAAACAAAGACGCCGCTACAATACAAGTCACTGACTGCTTTCGCAATGCGGCGCCGCGAGCGGCACGTAACCGTCGACTCAATCTCGCCATACTCAATGAATGCATGTAAGTAGACACAATGACAAATCGACACCGCTTCAGCTACCGTAGTAGTTGTTAATATGGCCGACGCGCCATACGGGAATCCAATGAACTCACTCTGAATGTCATCGACTTACTTCAGGCGTGTGGGGCAACCGGACAGACTCGATGGATTGGGGTGTGAGGCCGGTTGATGGGCCACTTGCGTCACATCCAGGCGTCGGACATGCCAATTTGCCTTCTAGAACAACTGAGCGCGGTTGCGTGATCCAGTAAGCCAAATGGACTTCAGTCTTACCTCGACGAGCACTCCAATTCACACTTGGTGATGGCATTGATGGGGTGCCCATACTGGGACTGGCCGATCCGGATGGTGGCAGTGACGAGGAGACGGGAGTTTTCGGCGGCGACTGAAAACAAAGGCCATTCGCATCTGATTCATGTGTCGTCGAAAAGTAAAGCGAAGATTCAGTACTTACACTCGTTGTTACTTCAACAGCCGGCAGACCGTCGTCTTTGTCCGTTGGAGCTATGCGTCCATCGATAGACATGCATAGCATTTCTGGTTCGACTTTACTCGGTGACACAAAGCTCATTTCGAACTTCTTTGGCTCCTGAAACGAACAATAGCGAAGTGAAACGAGTAGTTACCGCAAAAATACTCTCACAGCCCCTTCCTGCGAGGCAATTCGGCCTTACTGACAAACTTCAGTGACCGAGAAAAATCGTCATTGCCCTCCTGGTGAAAATTTGACCAGTGAACGGAAAGTCAGGAGCACGGAAATCGCCAATAGCTACTCACTAGGCTACCCTTGATTCTTTACCCCGGATTTTTTCTGGAGAAGGACATGGCGAAAGTGGCAAAAAAAATCCAAAATCCCAATCTCCACTGCCATTACTAGAGTTATGCTATGAAATAAGCAAATAAGTACCAAGAAAACCTATAGGGTCGCCGTGGCTACTGCCGGGTCAAGTCATCTGGCTATGCCATGCGCCAAGTTTACTTTGAGCCTTATCCATCAAGTATCACTCAATATCACTTGGTATCATTGAGAGCTTCTCAGTCTATAGACGCCTTTGAAGATATTCAAAAAGAAGTATCGTTCCTGTGAGTGAGCAGATGGCCAGCCATTCCTGGCCATTAGCCAAGTAGGCGGTCACTTTCATAATCTGACAGCTCAATTTCGGGGTCAGACGCCGCTTAAGGGGGGCAAGAGATCATTTGTCAATCCCTTCGTCTCATTGCGTGACCGGCGAACACCCTTAATATGACCAGAATGCCATAAGGTTAAATGATGCGAAAATGAACTCCGATAAATACTGGCTCATGGAGAGGTTAGCTATTGATTTCCACTGACTTCGAGGGCTGGTTATCCTCCACCAGGGCAAATAGGGAAAAGGAAAGACGAGTGGAATTTTTTGGTTCGTCCTCCCTCGCTGCTAGCTCTAGTAAGACCGCCGGCTCCGGTGATGTCCCTTACGCAACGGTGCGGCGAAGGGACAGAGAGTCCTCGCAAGCAGTAGCTGTTCCGCGACGGTTTTCTTTGTGGAATATTTCCGTTCGGGGCTTTATTACAGGTCCCGAAAAAGGAAAACAAAAAATTCCTACTACTCTTTCTGAACAACCTCCGTGTGATTCCTCTGTTGGTTAACAGTAAAACTAACAGAAGAAATCGGTGAAACTGCTGAATGCCCCCCGCAAGCCGAACAGCGCCTCAAAAGCCTTTGAATCTGCTCACCTCTTCGTCGTTTTTGGCCAGTTCGTGCTCGTCGGTCTGCGATTCAGATGCCATGGTGACGTCATCTGATGGGACGGCACTCTCGGAATGACCACTGCACTCCTCGTCCTGCACGCTGTCCTCGACGACACGAACGATATCCTTGGCTGAAATGAGGACATAAATTCGTACAGTGGTGCGTATTTGTATGTGTAGAGGAACACACACAGTAGCGACCGGTAAAAAACGACGGATGATGACAAAGAACGTGCCGGCCTCCTTGTCGTCCTCGTACTCATCATCCCGTCATGCCCTATTGCTGAGGGTAAATGTTCGACGACGACGACGCGTATCACGATCACCCCCACTAAACCACCCCCAATCGCATGTACATATAATAGAGCGCTAGGAAAAACTCTAAGGAAAAACGTACATAGGTGAATGGTGATTGGTTACGCGGAAAACAGACCAAGGACAATTCGGGCAGGCAGAATGGGAAAATAGGGCGGGGTCTGAGCGGTTTTTTTATCCTGAATTACCTTGGCCGATTCACTGATCTTTTGGCTTGTTATAAATCTGATAATATTTAGAAAGGACATTATGTAGACGTCACTGGCCTCTGGTTTCCGGTCACAAACCACTATTAGATTCTCCATGGCCATTTGATGGTACCCGCTTCGGGACAATTCCATAAGGTACACGGCTGAACGGTACGCAAATTACGATCCCAGCTTCTGCAATGGAAGTGTTGTGGATGGGGCTTGCGGAAACGGAAAAGCTGCTGTCAGGGATACACAGAAACCCTGAGCAGCCCCGTTTTCGACAACTCGAGCCAACTGCTCACTCCTCACCTCAACTAATCCGAAAAAAAATCGATCGCCCGGCGGTAGGGAGGACGTGGTGATAGACGATGATTCGTAACTTCCGAGCATTCACACACTTGGAGTCTTGGAAACCCTGTCAGCAGGTTTAGTAGGCCGTTTGTAAGGTCCTCAAGGCATCCCATAGCATAGTGTAAGGTGCCCATAGCGACCCAAATACGACCCTACCAGCGGGGACTCCTCAACCAGGCCGTTCCTTTAAAAGAGCTTTAACGGGGAACGAAGGCAAAAACCCAACACCGCAATCTTGTCAGCTAATTGCAGGTATTTTTTATCAATTATCGAATTTTACAAACATCCATGAAAAACAGGAGGAAATTTCACAGAAAAATTTGCTGAACACAGGTCAGTGGATATACAGCAGGTCCGCCAAGAATGGAATGGTGCTGTAATTGTTTCCCCACTTGAAGAAAACGCTTGCAGATATTGGAAAAAGAGCAAGTTATGAAAGGTGTTTTTTTCAGATAACAAAAGCGATTCACCTAGAAGTACCTAACCCACGGTAAGAAAAGTTCTAGAAGTGCTACCTAAAGAACCCATGACAAGTAAAAAAAAACAAAAAAAGTCATTTAAGGAACGAGAACTTCCAAGGCTTAGAGTACTGGGAGATTTTGAAACAAGGATACCGTTATCACATGATCATCAGCGACCAAGATTTCTTCAAAATCAATATTGCAAATACTGCACGCGGTAGTTAACTGAGTGGGAACTAATTTCCAAAGAAGCATTTAGTCGCGCAGCGATCAAATCAAGTCCTGTCCAATAGAATGGATGGAATGAAGCGTTTCGGAAAAAAACCGTTGTAGTAAAACACCCCCAAGGGTAATGGGGGCGATGCGGGGTTGAAAAATCGAAAAACGCATAAACGGAGATGAGTAACGTGCTAACGGATTAAGCAATTTGCACGAAGAGCAGACCAATGCCGTCTCCAGACAACGACTGCACCACTTCTCTTCAGCGGAGCAAATAAATCAGATTTCGGCCCTGACCGGCAGAAGCAGAAAAGCTTGAAAGGGAAAGAAGAAAAGAAGATGAAAGGAAAGAGAAAGGCAGAAGATATCAAAAAAGAGCCAAAAGAGCTCACCGTCGGGTTTTCGGCGCCGTTTCGCGGGTGGCGCTCCTTCGCTTGGTGTTGACACCACCGACGAGACGTCATCCGGAGTCTCGGAACCTTCCGAATGTGTCTCTTGGGTGTCACCTTCAGGTGGTGTGGCGGCGTTTCGTGCCGCTAAAGAGCTGCAATGGAAAACATAGGTATCGATCCTCAGATGCAGATCAGAAGTAAACTTGACGGACCTGACCAACGATAACAGAAAATCCGGTCCATAATGCCCGTTATTCGAGAACACACCAGCCATGTTCATTACGGAACTTCTTCCTCTGCAACCGTAATCGGTAAATCACCGTCGTGATTAGGGCTGTGAATAATCGGAAATCGGAAATAACAGCGATAGGTGAAGTGATGTGAATCCGACCGGGAAAAGTGAACACAGTAGCCAACTCTCAGCTCTGAGCTCTCGGTTCGGTGCGGTGCCGAAGTAGCAAATAAGGAGTGAGAGGGGCGTGCCCGACGCTTGGAAGTGGGCGTGGCGGACTGCAGCTGCCTCTCTCCCTCTTTTCGGGCGGCTATGTGGCGATTCTTTTCCCGGTCGTCGTCCCAAAGGAGGCAATCACCTCCAACCAACCAAATCGCCTACAGATTGTCCATTTCGGTCGACAATTTTCAAATCATTGCCCTCACTTACAACAGCTGCACCGCTTTGCACCACATGCTGCTGCGCGGCACAGTTCGTCTTAGACAGAGGGGGCATAATGTAACCTTCTATGAACTCATGTAACGCTGTGAACTGTAACAAAATTCAAGCGATGTTAGGCTTGTGGGGGGGGGAGTTCTTCTAGCTTCTTTTGCCAATCCTGTTAAATCACGTCTTACCTTGGTGAGACATGTTGACACTTGTCAAGTGTAAACGAAGCTTGTGCTATTGCGCAGTTTTACACGAATTCACAGGTTCACAGGAGGAATCGGTAATGATCGATGGAACTCAGCAGGATGCACCCACCAAGCCGAACAGCGCCAAAGGCACTTTCAAACCACTTTTTGCATAACTTGGTCCACTCACCCTGGATTTCCTACCCCTTTAGGCTTAGGACAAATCTCCAATCCAGCAAAGCTTTACAGGATTTACAGGTCCACTGTATGCAACGGTAATGGCCGATGTAGTCAACAAAATGCCGCCAACAAGCCGAACAGCCCCGAGACCCATATTCAAGTACTTTTTTACAGCTTGGTCCATATGCCCTGCTCCCTAGCCGCTCACAATCGCTTCTTCACACCTTCCTGCGCTAAATGCCATCTGACCAGAGTGACAGAGAAAAGGGGTGGAAATGAGGCCCACCCAATTTCGCAGGTTTACAAGTTAACAGGTTTGACCTGGCCAAACTTCTACCATTTCGTACTTTACAAGAGTTAAAGGGTTAAAACAAAAAATGCATGCCAAGCTTGATAAATTTCGTATTTTTCAGAGATCTCAGGCCAGAAAAAGAACAACTCAAGCCGTACTATTCCGTAACTTAACAAGAGTAACAGGCCTTCCGCAAAAACCACCCACCCCAGTTCGTAATAATTGCAAACTTTACTAGAATTAACAGGTTATCACAAAATGACTGTGCGAACTCGTAGCATTCCGTAACCATGCAAAGGGTGTGACATAGTATTTCGCAACTTTACAGGAGTTAGCAGGTCTCTACAAAATGACCTAGTAGGTCGACAGGAATCGATTAAATGCCCCTCCCAAGCCAAACCCTTTTCCGTAACGCTTCTGTACAACACATTTGCAACGACAAAATTTTACTTCAGCTAACTTAGTCACTACATTGACAACACGGAGGGACAACTTGGAGTGCCTAAAGTCAAATGAGTATCGGACTGGCTAAATAGAGTGCGATAACAAAAAACCGAAAAAAACATGACTGGAACATGACCGCTTTAAATTGCGCGCGATTCCAATCGATAAATTAGCCGGAACGAAAATGATTTAAAAACACGATTTTCTTTTGCAAAGTACTAATTCTCTTCAGATAACAACACAATCTTCAGACACAAAAACAAAAAGAGACATCTTAACAAGAAAGCAATCAATTAATCAATCCATCAGCATAACAATAAGAATTACGCGTTTTTTTTTCAAACTTCCATGATTTTATGCATCATAAGAGTCCAACGTGAAATCGACCAGCTTCACAGGTTTTGTTTGCCATTTGCCAAGACCAGCAGCTTCCAGCTGAAGATCACATACATTAACACCCAAAATGGTCGACGTGGGGACAGACGGATATAAGGGCAAATGGCTGGCCAGCACCGCGGTCTCAACGACCTGTCCGGCAGCTTTAGGTTCTCACCCTCGTTGTCATCGTCGTCATCTCGATCAGTTTCTTCTTCGGTTTCAAATGCGCCGGGCGACGAATGAGATTTGAGGAATGACATGTGGTTTGCGTGCAGCTCCCATAACAGCGACAGCAGCAGTCTGAAAAGAGCCATCTTTGTCTAATTTCTGCATGCTGATTACGTGTCGACCAGAATGGCATGGCACAGGAGGTTGTCCTAAAAGCAAGCGAGAAGCTGACTGATTCGCTGGCCATTAATCATTGCAATGTCGTTGAGATGAGTCAGCACTGCTTTCCTTCTATACGCGAATTCCATTCGTTCGTCATGTGTCGAAGAAAATTAAAAATAATTGGATGTCGAAGCCCTTGTATAGACAAGGAAATTAGAATATCGTGAAAAACCTAGGACGGGCGAGGACTAGAGGCACGGCCGAAGAGCTCCCTAAGAGGTATACGCATCGATTTCCACGCTCACCATACAAACCAAGCTCGGAATGCGCCCTAAGATTCTATTCAGAGGAATGAGAGTATGTGGATGCAAAGCCCATATTCTATTCATACTGACGAGTACCCGTTGAAGAGGCAGTGCTAACTGGTGAAGCAGTGCAAGAGGAAAAATGAACGTGCTTGGTCAAACAATGACCAACGTTTCCACTTTCCATTAAATGCTTCTTGGTGTTCCATTTACAGCATCGGTAAATAATAATTGCCCTCGTCCTTCTCTTTAAGTTGCGGTAGGTTTCACGTTGTTGATGAACCTTGAATGTGACTGATGAGGATCCATACTGTATGCGCTATTCCACTTTCGAGGGTGGACTTTCTGTGACATTTGCATAGCTCGGATTTCCTCGAGTCTCATCCTCTGCATACACTCCTCTCAGATGCTAAAGTGCGATGATTACGGTTGCCGGAAGTTAGACGGCCAAGCGCGATGCTAACGATGGCGCGCAAAAGTTTCTGGTCGTCGAAATTGCCCATCCGAGACGCGGTGCTTAGCGCGCGCGATTTTTCTCTTCCTTCCAACGTTCGACTGCCCAAACTATCGCGAGACATCGCTTTCGCTGCATTCTCGGCCCCCCGCTAGAAATAGGCGTATGCATCATCTAACTTGTGGTAAACTACGAGCCATAATATGCATGATTTCAGGTCAGGAGCCCTTCTTTCCACCATTAGCACCAATTCTACCATCAGGTTCTTCGTAGTGTGACACTGTGATGATAATTCAATGATAATCTCTGTTGACTCTTGAACCTCAGCAATCCAGCAAGGTTGAACAATAGTGAGTCTATTTGGTGAATTTTCACCATTATTGCGGATTGAGGCAGTTCGCGCAGGGGTTATGTTGCGTTTTTGCACGTGCACGCATCTTTCCCGGGTTACAAGTGTGTACAAAGTACCAATGATTCGTTTCAACCGAGACTTGTCCAGTACAATAGTCACTGCTTTTCCACAGAGTGGACTTGTAAATCGCACTACGTGAAGCTTAGCAAAGCAGATGGCCCCCCCCCCAGCCGCCCGCAGATTCTCCCATTTTAATTTAAATTAATATTTTACAGAACAAAATTATTTTCCATCACCATCGCATTGATGGACACGTTGATATCGGAGCATGTGGAAATTTAATACGAATCCGGCCGATAACTAACAATGGTCACCATCACGTCTCTGCAAAGCGGGTCAATTGTTCGGGTGGAATTTTGACTGTAGTACCCCCAGAACTGTTTACCGACTATTCTACAATCGAGTATTGATTTTCTATTGACTTTTTAGGCTTTCCTGAAATTGGCGCCTGATAGCTCGAAGCGCGTTACATATATGGAGCAAAGAAAAAGGCAGTATCGCTTAACAATGATAGCAACGTGTTGCTTTACGAGCAAGTAGTCGAATAAGAATCCGAGTTCAATTAAAGTGGCGTAAGCTGCCTGGGACCAGGTCGTGAGACCGTTGGATGCGTCCAGCCATTGCCTTAATATCCGTCTGTCTCCACGTCGGACAATGTTAATTAATGGCTCACTGGAATCGTTGGCTTGAAGCCAACCGGGCCCGCGCGACAAGAGCGATGGGGTGGAGGGTGGCAATGGGGCGGCGGGGGGAAAGTCACCTGGGGCGGTGGCCCGCGCTGGTGGGGGGGGCACTAATTAACTCGGATTATTCCGACTTACCATTGCTCGCATAACAGCACACGTTTGCTGTGCATTGTATACAGCGGGGACTGCCTTTCTTTTGCCTCCTATACTTGCTACACACTGCGCTTCAAACGCTTATCAGGCGCCAATTTCAGGAAAGCCTAAAAAGTCAATAGAAAATCAATACTCGATTGTAGAATAGTCGGTAAACAGTTCTGGGGGTACTACAGTTCAAAATTACCCACCTCGAAAATCGCCGCTTTGCAGAGGCGTATGGTGAACCCTTGTTAGTTCGGCCGGATTCCGTATTCAGCATTTCCACATGCTCCATATCACGTGTCCACACATGCGATGGTGACATGGACAACATAATTTTGTTCTGTAAAAAAATAATTTAAAAAATTAAAAATGGGTGGAGAATACTGCGGCGGGCTAGGGTTGGGCGGGCGGCATTCTGCCCTCTTTGCTTGCTTGTCACTTGAGTTGCCGATTTACAAGTCTCACTCTGGTGAACACTCAGTGCACTCTTGTAAGCTGGAGCAAGCTCGTTGAACCATCATGGTAAACCCTGTCAACACTTGTAAGCCCGAATAGATGATGCGTCGGCACGCCTTAGCAAAAACGCAAACATACCCCCCCCCTGTCCGTTGCGAACCGTCCCTCCAAATCTGCCAATAATGGCTGCAAAATTCACCAAAAAGTCCTCAGACTCACCCTAATTGATTCCACCTTGCATGGAATTGCTGGAGGTTCAAGACGTCCAAACAGAGCATTCATCATTGAATCATCACTCACAGGTGCCACACTACCGAAGAACACTGAGTGCGGTAGAATTGGGTGCATAATGGTGGAGAGAAGTGCTCCTTGGACACCTGAAAATACATGCATAACTTATGGCTACCGTAGTTACACACAAGTTGAGATGATAGCTACCGTATTTTAGCGGGGGGCCGAGACATGCAGCGAAAGCGATGTCTCGGCGAAGTTTGAGGCAGTCGAACGTTGGACGAAGAGAACGAGAGAAATCGCCGCGCGCTAGCACCCGTCTCGGAGTGGGCCAATTAGACGGACGCAGAAACTTTGCGCGCCACTCGTTTAGCCAATCGCCGCTTGGCCGTCTAACTTCCGGCAACCGTAATCATCGCACTTTAGCATCTGAGAGGAGTGTATGCAGAGGATGAGACTCGAGGAAATCCGAGCTATGCAAATGTCACAGAAAAGTCCACCCTCGAATGGAAATAGCGGCAATACGCAGTATGGATACTCATCAGTCACATTCTAGTAATTCAACAAACGAACCCACTACCGCCACTATCACAACGACGACGACGACGGGGCAATTAATTATTTACCGATGGCATGGCGTAATATGCAACACAAGGCGCATTACATGGAAAGTGGAAACGTTGGTCATTGTTTGACCAAGCCGCGGTCATTTTTCCTCATTGCACTTTTGCTTCAGCCACCTTGCACCTGCCCTCTTTCAACGGGTACTCGTTCAGGTATTGAATGCGGTAAATTAAGTGCGCCTTTTGCCCCAGTCCACATCACGTCCATCATCTCTGCAATAGAATCTTAGGGCGCATTCGGAAACGCGTTGCCGTTTGTTGGTGACGGTGGAAACTCGATGCGTCACATCACTCTTAAGCGTGAGCTCTTCGGCCGTCCGCCCTCTGTCCTCGCCCCGGTCGCTTAGCCGCTCTTTTCACGCCTATTCTATTACTCCTTGTCTAGTCCACAGGGGCTTCGCCATCCAATCTTCGACACATGAACGAAACGAAATGGGAATTCGCGTATAAAGAGAAAGCCAGCTGGCTGACTGCTTCACTCAACGACATTGCAATGATAATGGCCAGCGATCAGCTCAGCTTCTCGCTTTGACTTTTTAGGACAACCTCCCTGTGCCTATGCCCCATTCTGGTCGACACGTAATCAGCATGCAGAAATTAGACAAAGATGGCTCTTTTCAGACTGCTGCTGTCGCTGTTATGGGAGCTGCACGCAAACCACATGTCATTCCTCAAATCTCATTCGTCGCCCGGCGCATTTGAAACCGAAGAAGAAACTGATCGAGATGACGACGATGACAACGACCAGGAGAGAAGATGAGTGCACCAGCCCAACAAGTACCGTAGGATACTCTCGACAGATGGGAGAGAGCACGCACGAAGAAGACGAGGGGCGAGCAATGGATATGTGAATGCGAGCTCCTCGCTTCTCATATGGCTCTCTTCTCCAAACTGCACTTCGCACCTTCAATGACGAGTCGTTCTCAAGCTGTTGCACTCGCCACTAGGGGGGGGGGATTGTCAACAGCAATGCACTTGAAAGTCGGGTATACTTCTGGACATCATCTAGGGTTATTCCTCAAACCTCCCTGACTGAAAAGAAAGAACTGCTTCAGTCGTGTACGAGTTTGTTTTGATACCAGGCTTGCCAATGGAAAAGCTACTTCATTTCGCTCGTAGACGACTTGCTAAGCCTCACCTAAGCCAAACTCATTACATTCACCAACGAAACCACATAAATCACTAACGGGGCACATACGCTATGCGGCGATGCGCCTTTCTCAAGATGTCAACGGCTGCATCGTCAAGACGAGTTCGATTATAAATGGCGGCAGGAAGTTGCCTCTTCGTCTTCAAGAGTTTAATTAGCAACTGAAGAGATCTGCGCCGAGATTGATATTGAGATCATACGGTTGAGCCTACGTTACCCAGCTTAGACAATGAATGATGAACACGCAGCATGTGTTTCTCCAGCTCACCCCTTGGCAATTTCGGCAAACGATAGCGTTGAAGCATAGCCCTTTCCGTAAAGGTGACGATGGCATTTGAAAGAAACCTTTATAACTGAGCCCCTCTTGAGCTCCACAAATCGACAAGACTTATCTACGCCCAGGCTTCTAATTAAAAAACCTCAAGACCATATTGACTTTCTTTGGGGCCAGGAAGGGAAAAACTAACATCCACCAACATGAGGGATCTCGTGGCGTCACAGAGGTAAATCCTGCTGGCCGATCCACAAACTACTTCGTTTGGTTTTCCAAAGTACCCAATATCCTCCAGTAATTTTTCGAAAGGAGTAAGGCAAAACTTGAGCTCCACAGATCGACAAGACTTATCCTACACCCAGGCTTCTAATTGAAAATCTCAAAACCGCGATTGACTTCTTTGCGGCCAGACGCTGAAGCAACATCCAACCAACATGAGGGATTTCGTGGGTCCTCAGAGGTAATCTTATTGTGGCTGATCCACAAACTGCCTTGTTTGGTTTTCCAAAGTACCCAATATCCTCCTAGTAATTTTCCGGAAGGAAAAAGGAATAATGTCCTCACTCTGAACTATTTGTATGGTCAGATCCTTTGATTTCGAGGCCCACCAAGAAATCAAAACCGTTCCGGCCTCCATTCCAGTTCTCCTCCTTATTATAATTGAACAGAGTACTTTTGAAGGGCGAGAAAAAAAAATTGTGGATAAGCCTAGCAGGATTACCCTGCCTAGTCAACAACGTCGGCAAAACTCAACGTATCGAGTAATGCCTTGGAATTTCACAACCCACGTTGTTACTCTTCTTCAACGAGTATAGTTTTTCTAGTCGATCGATTCCCTTCGAATGCGCCATGCATTCGAGTTCCTTCCAGAATCATAGAGGTGATGGGAAAGAGCGTGACGCCTCAGAAACATTTCTTTAGTAGCAAAGCACCGCTTCGGTGGCTGGGGATTGCATATAGCAACTATAGGCTCCCCTCACCGCTACTATGATGGGTTCTACTTCCTACCACAGCGACGGTGCCAGCTTTCAAACTTTGCTGCACATTGTATAGCCCACAAAAGACCCCCGTAAATAACTGAATTCAGTGGCACTGACACTGGTAAAAGTTAACAGGGACTCTTTTCAGAATATCTGTCCTGGTTGTACCAAGCACCAAAAACCTGTCACTAAAAAGGGACCAGGTTGGTAGGTTTCCCAGGATAAAGGAGCATTTCACAACTCCTCGATGGATTCCGCTCTTCACTCATTGACGTATACTACTCTTTGCCATTTGAAAAGAGAACGCTCTTCCTTGAATATTCATAGCGCAATTTCAACGAGAGACGTCCAGTTCGCTGCAGTTTAATAACACTTAAGTCGTCGTTGTGTTTCCAATATTTGGGCTGCCACATCTCATCTCGAGAGTTAACTCAATGCTTCTCTCTCTCACTCTCCTCTTTCTCTTGCTGCCCGAGTCCGCCTTTCCGCTTCACAACGACCATCGGGCTTGTTTTTCTCATACAACTTCGACTACGGTAGCTCTCTGGACGGGATGAGTACACACCACTAGCTCGCTAGCGCTCCAGAGCTACCACCAAAACAACTACGACAACGACGACGATACTCTCGGATGACAAACGCGAATGTCAAACCCGAATAATAATCGTGCATGTGCTTTGATGAAGGGAGTAAATTCTCACCCAGCTTCTTCAGAGAGGGAAGGTTACCCCAACGGTAGACATGAGCATGACCAATTTAGTATGAAGACGTAAAACCATTCCGGTGATCTTAAATGGGTGAGCTTCGGCTTGGTGGGGGCACCGAATGGTGCTCAACTCAGCTTTCACAGGTCAGCTTGTGAGGACCTGCAAAATCCATGATCAGAGTGAATGACTCGCACCACTCCTCAGCCTCACAGAAGTTTACAGGTCTCACCAGAAAGAGACCAGCTATTGGACATAACAAAACGAACTAGCAAAAGTGCAACATGCCCCCTCCAAGCCGAATAGCGCCCCATAAATGTTTCCCTTTCAATGGAAAACTTTCCAGATAACGCCTGAAGGTTTCTGAAGTTAGCCGATGGCCTCCCGCAAGGAGCGGCTCGGATATTATCGGCTGCAATCAACTAAAAATAAGGGATTAGTGAGAGAACCAGTCAAAAATGACCCTTATGTAAAGATTAGCAACCAGCAGTTTCAATTAATGCTGCTAATATTCCTAAAAGGTACTTCTAACTAGTTCTTTTATAAGTCCCGTGTTCGAAATTGATCGCCACTGACAATTTCCAATCCGCTCTTGAAGAAGGTCAACTAATAATTCCAGAAACTTTGGAGGTTATATCAAAAAGAATTCCTTGGAAAAGAAAACTTTTTCGAGCACCACACTGGTTTTAATATTTATATCCTTGATCCACCAAAAAGTAAGAGTTTTCTTGTATTCTGTGGTATTTTACAAATGTCTTCGTAGATACAAGAGTCTGGCATCATTCTGCCTTTTGATGATTGCACCCCTCTCTTGAACTCATTTTCTAAGCAGATTTTGTCAGCTGTGGGTGATAAGAGTTTATCTGCCTGGCAATTCTGCAGCAGATTACTTTCTACTTCTTTTAAGTAGGTTAACCTTTCCTCGTTGTTCCTTCGCACTCGCTGCCCCACTTTTGCCGTCGAGACTAGGTCAATCAGGTAGTAGGCCGAGCGCGAGACCATCTGCCAAAGGTAATATCGCATCCGTTAAGACGCTCAGAGGGCGCCCAGCAGTTCTCATCCTCAATATCGCTGGCGACTGCTTTGTGCAGGTGATCCCAATCGGGCATTGCCTCAACCTAATTGCTAATGTTGTAATGCGAGTACCGCTGCCGCGGCGAACACGCAATGAGCAATCCTCGGCAATGTGCCAAACTCGCGATCGCCCGTCACGTATGCACACCTGTCCATTCATGGTCCACAAAGTCAGTCAGTGCCGGGAGGGAGAGGGTCTGAGCAATCACTAAGCACCACCAGTACTCTTCGTCGCGGAACCAAAACACTGTCATCCACGCGAAGCACTCAAATAAACGTCGAAAGCTGCTGTATGTGCTGCTGTCAGCGGTCACTTTACAACGACAGATGGTCAGCATGTCCATACATTTTGGTCGG